GGCCATTTTTCCAATTTTTTTTTTTAGGCAATATAGACCCAGAAAATGTCTTTTACGATATTCTAGAACGAAAAAAATGCCTTTCTAGGCTATAAAAACAAGAAGTTCAAAACGTCAAAAAATTGACATTTTTTTAAAGGGGTTAACCCATGGTTTTAGTCCAAAAATGGCCATTTTTCCAACTCTTTTTTTTTAGGCAATATAGACCAGGAAAATGTCTTTTAAGATATTCTAGAACAAAAATATTTCTTTCTAGCGTATAAAAACAAGAAGTTCAAAAAGTCTAAAAATTGACATTTTCTAAAGGGGTTAACCCATGGTTTTAGTCCAAAAATGGCCATTTTTCCAAGTTTGTTTTTTTAGGCAATATAGACCAGGAAAATGTCTTTTACGACATTCTATAACAAAAACATACCTTTCTAGGGTATAAAAACAAGAAGTTCAAAAAGTCGAAAATTGACATTTTTCTAAAGAGGTTAACCCATGGTTTTAGTCCAAAAATGGCCATTTTTCCAAGTTTTTTTTTTTAGGCAATATAGACCAGGAAAATGTCTTTTACGATATTCTAGAACGAAAAAAAAAAATGCCTTTCTAGGCTATTAAAACAAGAAGTTAAAAAAGTCGAAAAATTGACATTTTTCTAAAGTGGTTAACCCATGGTTTTAGTCCAAAAATGGCCATTTTTCCTTTTCTTTTTTTTTTAGGCAATATAGACCCGGAAAAAGTCTTTTACGATATTCTAGAACCAAAAAATGCCTGTCTAGGCTATAAAAACAAGAAGTTCAAAAAGTCGAAAAATTGACATTTTTCTAAAGGAGTTAACCCATGGTTTTAGTCTAAAAATGGCCATTTTTCGAACTGTTTTTTTTTTAGGCAATATAGACCAGGAAAATGTCTTTTACGATCATGTTCTAGAACAAAAAGATACCTTTCTAGAGTATAAAAACAAGAAGTTCAAAAGGTCGAAAAATTGACATTTTTCTAAATGGGCTAACCCATGGTTTTGGTCCAAAAATGGCCATTTTTCCAATTTTTTTTTTTAGGCAATATAGACCCGGAAAATGTCTTTTACGATATTCTAGAACGAAAAAAATGCCTTTCTAGGCTATAAAAACAAGAAGTTCAAAACGTCAAAAAATTGACATTTTTTTAAAGGGGTTAACCCATGGTTTTGGTCCAAAAATGGCCATTTTTCCAACTTTTTTTTTTTTAGGCAATATAGACCAGGAAAATGTCTTTTACGATATTCTAGAACAAAAAGATACCTTTCTAGCGTATAAAAACAAGAAGTTCAAAAAGTCGAAAAATTGACATTTTCTAAAGGGGTTAACCCATGGTTTTAGTCCAAAAATGGCCTTTTTTCCTACTTTTTTTTTTTAGGCAATATAGACCAGGAAAATGTCTTTTACGATATTCTAGAACGAAAAAAAAGGCCTTTCTAGGCAATAAAAACAAGAAGTTCAAAAAGTCGAAAAACTGGCATCTTTGTAAAGAGGTTAACTTATGGTATTGGTCGAAAAATGGCCATTTTTCCGACTTTTCTTCTTATGGAATATAGGCCAGGAAAATAGCTTTTACGATATTCTAGAACGAAAACATGCCTTTCTAGGCTAAAAAAACAAGAAGTTCAAAAAGTCGAAAAATTGACATTTTTGTAAAGTGGTTAAACCCTGTTTTTTGTCCGAAAATGAGCATTTTTCCAAGTTTCTTTTTTAGGCAATATAGAGCAGGAAAATGTCTTTTACGATATTCTAGAACGAAAACATGCCTTTCTAGGGTATAAAAATAAGAAGTTCAAAAATTCGAAAATTGACATTTTTCTAAAGGGGTTAACCCATGGTTTTGGTCCAAAAAATGGTCATTTTTCCAATTTTTTTTTTTTAGGCAATATAGACCCGGAAAATGTATTTTACGATATTCTAGAACGAAAAAATGCTTTTCTAGGCTATAAAAACAAGAAGTTCAAAAAGTCGAAAAATTGATATTTTTCCAAAGGGGTTAACCCATGTTATTGGTCCAAAAATGGCCATTTTTCCAACTCTTTTTTTTAGGCAATATAGAGCAGGAAAATGTCTTTTACGATATTCTAGAACAAAAAGATACCTTTCTAGCGTATAAAAACAAGAAGTTCAAAAAGTCGAAAAATTGACATTTTCTAAAGGGGTTAACCCATTGTTTTAGTCCAAAAAAGGCCATTTTTCCAATTTTGTTTTTTTAGGCAATATAGACCAGGAAAATGTCTTTTACGATATTCTATAACAAAAACATATCTTTCTAGGGTATAAAAACAAGAAGTTCAAAAAGTCGAAAAATTGACATTTTTCTAAAGAGGTTAACCCATGGTTTTAGTCCAAAAATGGCCATTTTTCCAAGTTTTTTTTTTTAGGCAATATAGACCAGGGAAATGTCTTTTACGATATTCTAGAACGAAAAAATGCCTTTCTAGGCTATTAAAACAAGAAGTTAAAAAAGTCGAAAAATTGACATTTTTCTAAAGTGGTTAACCCATGGTTTTAGTCCAAAAATGGCCATTTTTCCTTTTCTTTTTTTTTTAGGCAATATAGACCCGGAAAAAGTCTTTTACGATATTCTAGAACGAAAAAATGCCTTTCTAGGCTATAAAAACAAGAAGTTCAAAAAGTCGAAAAATTGACATTTTTCTAAAGGGGTTAACCCATGGTTTTAGTCCAAAAATGGCCATTTTTCCAACTGTTTTTTTTTTAGGCAATATAGACCAGGAAAATGTCTTTTACGATATTCTAGAACAAAAAGATACCTTTCTAGGTTATAAAAAGAAGAAGTTCAAAAGGTCGAAATATTGACATTTTTCTAAAGGGGCTAACCCATGGTTTTGGTCCAAAAATGGCCATTTTTCCAATTTTTTTTTTTTAGGCAATATAGACCCGGAAAATGTCTTTTACGATATTCTAGAACGAAAAAAATGCCTTTCTAGGCTATAAAAACAAGAAGTTCAAAACGTCAAAAAATTGACATTTTTTTAAAGGGGTTAACCCATGGTTTTGGTCCAAAAATGGCCATTTTTCCAACTTTTTTTTTTTAGGCAATATAGACCAGGAAAATGTCTTTTAAGATATTCTAGAACAAAAATATACCTTTCTAGCGTATAAAAACAAGAAGTTCAAAAAGTCGAAAAATTGACATTTTCTAAAGGGGTTAACCCATGGTTTTAGTCCAAAAATGGCCATTTTTCCAAGTTTTTTTTTTTAGGCAATATAGACCAGGAAAATGTCTTTTACGATATTCTATAACAAAAACATACCTTTCTAGGGTATAAAAACAAGAAGTTCAAAAAGTCGAAAAATTGGTATTTTTCTAAAGAGGTTAACCCATGGTTTTAGTCCAAAAATGGCCAATTTTCCAAGTTTTTTTTTTTAGGCAATATAGACCAGGGAAATGTCTTTTACGATATTCTAGAACGAAAAAATGCCTTTCTAGGCTATTAAAACAAGAAGTTCAAAAAGTCGAAAAATTGACATTTTTCTAAAGTGGTTAACCCATGGTTTCAGTCCAAAAATGACATTTATTACCAAGGGGAATAAATTATTTTATGCAGCCTGCGTTTCGTATTTAGTATCCCGGATGGGTACATCCGGGACTTACATTAGTAGATACTTAAACATCCGAACATGTGATTTCAGGCCTCTTTCAGTTCAGCTTCGGTGCAGGGCAAACATTTTTCTTCGCTGAAGACTGAAGAACATTTAGAAAGAAACCCCTTTATCCCATTTCAGAAGGACCTTGAAGGGAGGAGAAGATTTCAACGATCAGTTAAGTAGGCTCTGTTTACTTGTTTTTAGCGCAGTTAATCGCTATCACAAATCCTGTTGTTCGAGTCACATGGCGGCTGGTGAACCAGGAACCGCGTGTGCTTATTCATTTTGTTGGTGCTTAGATCGCCGGACTGGCGATCCAAAAATCTCTTGGAAGGTTTCACTTAGAATTGTGTTCAGCCTGTTTGGTAGTATTTCTCGTGATGGGGCAGCGTAGAGTGGATAAAACAAACCGGTACGATCTCGGAAACATTCGCAGCACCGCCCCCCATTTTACTGACCTTGAGCTGAGATCAGGCGATTTTATACGGAATAATGAAAGCTACCCGGAGTTAATCTCACTCTCTGCGGTCGCTTTACCTGAACTAGTACGTAAAGACCGGGAATTGCGAATTTGAAGTTGTACGGAGCAACGTCATGTCTTAGACGGATAAGAAAAAGAATCTTTCAGCATAAACAACATGGCCGATCCCGATAGTCCCCTTAGGGAAACATTCCACGGGGCGGCTCGTCGGCAGATACAGTTGTGAGAGTTGGCAGAATCGGGGTTTACCTGTAGCCAACGACTAATGTTGAATGCCCTCGTTGGAATACTTTACATCGCCATGGGAAGATAGGCCCTTCACCGAAGCATTTGGGGAGCCATTTTGAGAGCACTTTCCGAAGTGTAAGAGTTTCTTTTGTTTTTTTCATTTCAAGTTTCATTTCAATTCGGTTAATATATATGGTAAGTCAGCGAGTTATGTTGCTCACTGATACAGCTATTTTTTGTCAGCCACGAAGCAATAATTTATATTATTTGGTTTGCCCCAGTTCTGTTATTTTTGAGTGGCCATATTGTCACCACTCTGGTTGTGTATTAGAGGGATGTACAGTTCTGGCGTTTGTCAGCATTGGTCATGATACTTATTCGGCGGGAGTGTTATTGCTCTGTGCCATTCATGTACCATTTTGTGCTGTTGCATCCTTTTGTTTGCCTATAACTACCTTGTGGTGTTATAGTACAGTTATTTGTGCCAGATTGTTTTATACTGTCATCTTCTCTGGTTTTTATTTTATTTATTGTTTAACTGAGGGCTCCAATAAGTGGCTGTTTCTTCTTTTGTCTCACGGGTGGCCAGTGGGGGCTTCGAAGCTCTTAGTAGAGCTTTACTTTCGTTTGTAATTCTCGACAACCAGATTAATGTTGGAGTTTTTGTAGTTACTAGAATGCCACCCAAGAGAGGACAAAACTACACAGAGAGAGTTAACAAGCGACGTCGTGCCGCTGACAGCAGTGCCACTACAGACTCGGTGGTGCAGCCACATCCATCACGGCTTCAGCCAGTCCAGTTGCAGGAACCTTCAAATGCTGCCCGGGCAACCCCACAGCTTACCCTTTCAGCAGAAGTATTGGCAGCGCTGACAAATTCCATCTCAGCAGCAGTATCAGAAGCACTGTTGACTGTTGCACAGCCCCTGCAACCTGCAACAACGGCAGCAGCAACGGCATTCCCAGTCGCCCATCCTTCAACATCTGCAGCAGCGGCAGCAGTCCCGGAGGTGCAGTTTGTTCCCGATCCCATTTCAATTTCAAGTGCAGAGGTGGTGAACAGAGATTCAAGCGTTGTAGAAGCAAACCCCACCACTCCCAATGCTGACCAGTCGCTCCTCAACACGGTCAACAATGCAGTGCAGCAAGTGACAAGCTCCTTACTACCTAGTGCAGCACCTCAAAGTAAGAACACTTTTTTGTCAACTGCAGTGCCACTAACCCATCGTGTACCCGATAAGGTCAAAAAACAAATATGGTCCAACGAGTATGTGGACTTTGCACTACTGTTGAATAATAGCTTTACTCACTCCGATGATCATTATACCTTCAGGGTAGAGAAAGGTGATGGTGGCAAGCCAGCTTTAGTTTTAGCACCTAATCCTAAGCGGCAGACTGTTCAATCAATTGAGCAGTGGGTCTCGGCCTTTCAGGTGTTTGTCGCCATCTATTCAGAAAAAGCCCCTTACGACACCCCGGCCCTCATGAAGTATGGGTCTGTCATCCGAGAGTTAGCCTCTCAGGGAGCCAATTGGAGGTTCTATGATGAGAATTTCCGTAGCATTAGGCAGACAGGGGGGGCCCCTTGGGACCAAAGTTTTTTTTTTTAGGCAATATAGACAAGGAAAATGTCTTTTACGATATTCTATAACAAAAACATACCTTTCTAGGGTATAAAAACAAGAAGTTCAAAAAGTCGAAAAATTGGCATTTTTCTAAAGAGGTTAACCCATGGTTTTAGTCCAAAAATGGCCAGTTTTCCAAGTTTTTTTTTTTAGGCAATATAGACCAGGGAAATGTCTTTTACGATATTCTAGAACGAAAAAATGCCTTTCTAGGCTATTAAAACAAGAAGTTCAAAAAGTCGAGAAATTGACATTTTTCTAAAGTGGTTAACCCATGGTTTCAGTCCAAAAATGGCCATTTTTCCTTTTTTTTTTTTTTTAGGCAATATAGACCCGGAAAAAGTCTTTTACGATATTTTAGAACGAAAAAATGCCTTTCTAGGCTATAAAAACAAGAAGTTCAAAAAGTCGAAAAATTGACATTTTTCTAAAGGGGTTAACCCATGGTTTTAGTCCAAAAATGGCCATTTTTCCAACTTTTTTTCTTAGGCAATATAACGCAAGGAAATGTCCTTTACGATATTCTAGAACGAAAAAATGCCTTTCTAGGCTATAAAAACAAGAAGTTCAAAACGTCAAAAAATTGACATTTTTCTAAAGGGGTTAACCCATGGTTTTAGTCCAAAAATGGCCATTTTTCCAACTCTTTTTTTTTAGGCAATATAGACCAGGAAAATGTCTTTTACGATATTCTAGAACAAAAAGATACCTTTCTAGCGTATAAAAACAAGAAGTTCAAAAAGTCGAAAAATTGACATTTTCTAAAGGGGTTAACCCATGGTTTTAGTCCAAAAATGGCCTTTTTTCCTACTTTTTTTTTTTTTAGGCAATATAGACCAGGAAAATGTCTTTTACGATATTCTAGAACGAAAAAAAAGGCCTTTCTAGGCAATAAAAACAAGAAGTTCAAAAAGTCGAAAAACTGGTATCTTTGTAAAGAGGTTAACTTATGGTATTGGTCGAAAAATGGCCATTTTTCCGACTTTTCTTCGTATGGAATATAGGCCAGGAAAATAGCTTTTACGATATTCTAGAACGAAAACATGCCTTTCTAGGCTAAAAAAACAAGAAGTTCAAAAAGTCGAAAAATTGACATTTTTGTAAAGTGGTTAAACCCTGTTTTTTGTCCGAAAATGAGCATTTTTCCAAGTTTCTTTTTTAGGCAATATAGAGCAGGAAAATGTCTTTTACGATATTCTAGAACGAAAAAATGCCTTTCTAGGGTATAAAAACAAGAAGTTCAAAAATTCGAAAATTGACATTTTTCTGAAGGGGTTAACCCATGGTTTTGGTCCAAAAAATGGCCATTTTTCCAATTTTTTTTTTTAGGCAATATAGACCCGGAAAATGTCTTTTACGATATTCTAGAACGAAAAAATGCCTTTCTAGGCTATAAAAACAAGAAGTTCAAAAAGTCGAAAAATTGATATTTTTCCAAATGGGTTAACCCATGTTAATGGTCCAAAAATGGCCGTTTTTCCGACTTTTCTTCTGAGGGAATATAGGCCAGGAAAATGTCTTTGACGATTTTCTAGAACGAAAAAATGCCTTTCTAGGCTATAAAAACAAGAAGCTCAAAAATTGGAAAAATTGATATTTTTCCAAATGGGTTAACCCATGTTATTGGTCCAAAAATGGTCGTTTTTCCGACTTTTCTTCTGAGGCAATATAGGCCAGGAAAATGTCTTTTACCATATTCTAGAGGTAAAAAACGCCTTTTTAGACTACAAAAACAAGAAGTTCAAAAATTCAAAAAATTGGTATTTGTAAAAGGGGGTTAAACCATGGTTTTGGTCCAAAAATGACCATTTCCCAACTATTTTTTTTAGGCAATATAGGGCAGAAAAACGTCTTTTACGATATTCTAGAACCAAAAAACTGCCTTTCTAGGCTATGAAAACAAGAAGTTCAAAAAGTCGAAAAATTGACATTTTTTTAAACAGGTTAACCCATGGTTTTGGTCCAGAAATGGCCATTTTTCCAACTTTTTTTTTTAGGCGATGTAGGCCAGAAAAATGTCTTTTACCATATTCTAGAACGAGAAAATGCTTTTGTAGGCTATATAAAAAAAAGAAGTTCAAAAAGTCTAAAAAATTGACATTTCATTAAAGGCGTTATCGTATGGTATTGGCCCAAAAAAAGCCATTTTTCCAACTTTTTTGTTAAGGCAATATAGGCCAGGAAAATGTCTTTTACGATATTCTAGAAGTAAAAAACGCCTTTTTAGACTATAAAATTAAGAAGTTCAAAAATTTAAAAAATTGGTATTTGTAAATTGGGGTTAAACCATGGTTTTGGTCCAAAAATGACCATTTTCCAACTTTTTTTTTAAGGCAATATAGGCCAGAAAAATGTCTTTTACGATATTCTAGAACGAAAAAACTGCCTTTCTAGGCTAGAAAAACAAGAAGTTCAAAATTCGAAAAATTGACATTTTTCTAAATGGGTTAACCCATGGTATTGGTCCAAAAATGGCCATTTTTCCATATTTTATTTTAGGCAATATAGGCCAGGACAATGTCTTTTACGATATTCTAGAACGAAAAAATGCCTTTCTAGGCTATAAAAAAAAGAAGTTCAAAAAGTCGAAAAATTGACATTTTTCTAAAGGTGTTAGCCCATGGTTTTGGTCCAAAAATGGCTGTTTTTCCGACTTTTCTTCTTAGACAATATAGGCCTGGAAAATGTATTTTACGATAATCTAGGATGAAGAAATGCCTTTCTAGCCTATGAAAAAGAAAAGTTAAAAATGCTGAAAAATTGGCGTTTTTCTAAAGGGGTTAATTCATGGTTTCCTCCAAAAATGGCCATTTCTCCAATTTTTTTTTTAGGCATTATAGACCAGAAAAATATCTTAGGATATCTTAGTACAAATAATGCCTTTCTAGGCTATAAAAAAAAGAAATTTAAATAGTCAAAAAACTGACATCTTTCCTGAGGGGTTAACCCATGGTATTGGTCCAAAAAGGGCCATTTTTCCGATGTTTTTTCTTAGGCGATATAGGCCAGGAAAATGTATTTTACGATATTCTAGAAAAAAAAAATGCCTTTCTAGGCTATAAAAATAAGAAGTTCAAAAAGTCGAAAACTTGATATTTTTCCAAAGGGGTTAACCCATGTTATTGGTCCAAAAACGGCCGTTTTTCCGACATTTCTTCTTAGGCAATATAAGCCAGGAAAATGTCTTTTACTTAATTCTAGAATGAAAAAATGCCTTTCTAGGCTCTAAAAACAAGAAGTTCAAAAAGTCGAAAAATTGACATTTTACCAAAGGGGTTAACCTATGGTATTGGTCAAAAAATGGCCATTTTTCCGACTTTTCTTCTTATGGAATATAGGCCAGGAAAATAGCTTTTACGATATTCTAGAACGAAAATATGCCTTTCTAGGCTAAAAAAACAAGAAGTTCAAATAGTCGAAAAATTGACATTTTTGTAAAGTGGTTAAACCCTGGTTTTTGTGCGAAAATGGCCATTTTTCCAACTTTTTTTTTTTGGCAATATAGACCAGGAAGATATCTTTTACGATATTCTAGAACGAAAAAATGCCTTCTTAGGCTATAAAAATAACAAGTTTAAAAAGTCTAAAAAATTGACATTTTATTAAAGGGGTTAACCTATGGTATTTATCCCAAAAATAGCCATTTTTCCAACTTTTTTTTAGGCAATATAGGCCAGGAAAATGTCTTTTACGATATTGTAGAACGAAAAAATGCCTTTCTAGGCTATAAAAACAAGAAGTTTAAACAGTCGAAAAATTGACATTTTACCAAAGGGGTAAATGGTATTAAACGGTCAAGTTTTTTTTTAAGGTTCCAGGAAAATGTCTTTTTAAATTTTCTGTTCCATGTTGAGCAAAAAAATTGATTTTCTTCCAAATTGACACCTTTTGGTCGAAAATTTTTTGAACTTTTTTCTGAGGCAATATAAAAATGTCTTTTACGATATTCTAGAACAAAAAATTTTTCTAAGCTATAAAAAAAAGAATTCAAAAAGTAAAATCTCCTAAAATTTAACCAAAATTTTTCGAAAAAATCCTTGTTTCTTTTCTTGAGTCCATAAATCTTATACCTCCATAACAAAAATTACTCAATATCCTCTTTTTACTGTTTTATGCTATCTTTTTCCAAAAAAAGATGAACAAAATTTGACTTCCGTTTCATCGTTTTTGTTTTTTCGAAAGAAGAAACACAAAAAACGAAAAACGAAATTCGGCTTCCGTTTTATCGTTTTTCCTTTTATGTACAAACAAAAAAAATAGCATAAAATGGAAAAAGATAGCATAAAACAGTAAAAAGAGGATATTGAGTAATTTTTGTTATGGAGGGATAAGATTTACGGATTCAAGAAAAGAAACAAGGACTTCTGGAATTTTGGCAATTTTTGGAGATTTTACCATTATTTTTAAGTGCAAAAATTATTTGGCGCCGTCATATTATAAAATTTCAATAAAAAGGTGCTTTTAAAGCAAAAGCAATTTAGACACTTGTAACATTATAAACGAATTAATCGAAAAAGATG